CACGTGGTCCCAGATTGTACCATTGCAATACCGACGACACCACAATGCTCCCGGGACTATCCCAAGTCCACCATTTGTCCCAAACTTCACTCAATAAAAATAAACCGCGTGCCGCAGTGTGCTGCAAACCGAAATCACCCACGTATCGAAGTATGGAGTCCCAAGTCAATTCCAATTGTCCTAAAATGGTCCCAAGTGGTCCCACACTATTACCCGCACCATCGGACGACTCCAAAATGGCCAACTACTTGCACCACGCGCCTAAAAAAAGGTAAAAATGACCATGAGCGTGAAACCTACGAGTGTTGCAAGTCCCCAACGATCACAACACCGCATGCCCGCACTTCAAGTACTCTTACAGGTCCACGCACCGTGCCGCATGGTCCTAAATAACCCTGCAATACGTGCAAGTGACGCCACAGTCTCCTCCTGCCTCAAACATCGACGATATGCAGAAAACTACAAGAAAAAACACCCGCAGGTCCCAAAGAAAAAGACACTTGGAACCGAGTCCGAAGAGTACACCAGTGTTCATGCCGCCTCCAAAGCACCCTGGAATATGTCACTGCCTCCTTGTTCCTCTCCCAAATATTTACCCTCGTAACCTCCGCTTGCCGCTTCGCTACCACGAATGTCTATAGCACCCCAAAATGACGGGGTCATCGTGCAACAAAATTTAAGCAGCCCTTCCCTTCTTAAAAACTTCGGGGTGCCGCCGAAAGTTTGGTAATACGCCCTGCCCTACAACCTTGTCGTTGACACACCGTCAATCCGACACCATTAGCCCTTAAAAACACCTTGCCGCCAAGCTAAAATTTCGGAAACATTAACCTACAAAATGGGGTATGGCCTACCGTGCGTCCAGCCTTTCGACACCTTTGGCCTCAAGGATCACCACAGGTGTAGCACTTAGCCTGTGCTTTAGCAAAATGTTGCCAGCTATGCCTATGGCTGCCCTTCTTCCTCATGCAAATTCCAACTTGCAGACCTGTAGGTCCACTTCACTTAAAATAGCGTCTACGCTCAGCGTGATAAGGCCCAACCAACAAACAAATGAGTACGAGTGTTAGCAACATCACAACCTCAACATTTATGAGGCAAAAGTAGGGGTATGTGGGCAGCAATTTGGCCCATAGCTTAAAATTTGAATTCCTCCCAGACCCTTAATCTGAAATAAAGATTGTTGATGTTTTTTTTGTCTTTGCTTTAATGGATGTTGGTTTACTGGATTGATTTGAATTCCTCCCGGGCCCTTGATCTAAAATAAAGATTGTGGCCCATAGGTAAAAAATTGAATTCCTCCTTGGTCTTCCATACATTTTATTTTTTTTACTTGCACATCCATAAGTGTTGATTTTTCCATAAGGGGAACAGGGGCCTCCAACATCTAAAGCACCTGACCTTCTTCCAGGCCACGTGCATTAGGGAAAAGTTGAACCAAGCCTTGTTGGCAGGGCCTGGAGGCCGAGGGAATGTGTGGTGGCTTTAAGGTAAGTATCTGCACTTACTCGCTTGGCTGTTTTTAGATTTGGACCTGAGTCTGCGTTCCCCATAAACCACACTGAGAAACGAGGTAGTTGTTTTTTTTTCTTTTTTTCTTTTTTTTCTTTTCTTAATTCTAGCTTGGTTTTCAACCAGATTCGGTCGCCCCCACCTAATGTGCAATAGGCAGAAAGCAGTAGGAGGAGAGACACGAACGTGGCTATGTGATGGGAAAAATGCATAGCTTAGGGGAGTGGTTGTGTGCGTGTGCGGACCTACAACCCACGAACTATCGAAAGGCAAACCCAAGTTTGAATCGAGGTGCAATCATGCAATGGGGCAGCTCTACCACTCCCCAGATGTACAAAACGATAATGAATCTTCCTCTTGGACCGAGGGAGTTGCGTAACCTCGTGGGTCCACATCACTACCAACCGTTTCAAAACAGGAAAAAAAAAAAAAAACTTTATAAAAAGAAAATGAATCTAACGACCATGACATTGGGTACCTGGCAACAAATGTTGCTATCTACAACTCTGAGCTTCCTGGAAAATGCACCATCTGGCATGTTGTTGTTGTTGTTGTTGTTGTTGTTGTTGTTGTTTTTTTTTTTTTTTTTCCGTTGGCATCCACCCAACATCGTTCCTTTAGTTTCAGTGCCATCGTGACACACACATGAATTGTTGAGATATACAGACCGGAGTTTGATTCCGGAGGGAATAAATTCTTAAAAAAATATAAATTTTTTGGCATTTCTTGATTTATGTTTGTCCTCCTTGCGCAGGGGCGATGTTGATCTGCGCCACATATTTTAGCCACGTGCTCTCGACGATCGCATGGGCGAAATCGGTTGCGCTATCGGAGCAGAAACCCTTACAAGGGTATCTGATCATGTTTTTTCAATGTCGGACGCTGTCCGACTTTTTTTTTGAATTGAGGGGTTTGATGAGATTGATGTCTGCTATAAGATTACTCAAACTAGCCTATAACCGAAAGATTATAACTTTTTTGGACCTTAGCCCAGACGCTTGTGACGTCCGATAATAATGGCGGTAATCGGCAGTGTGACCAGTTATACGCGGGTTCTAGCGGAGCCGCAGAGGACTTACAGTCGTAGGAATGTTAAAGCTAAAGACCTATCCTACCTAAAATAATGACAGTCGCACGATTCAGGGCCTAAGAACAAAAAAACAATCAATCGTGTCATATCTGCGACTACGGCGCAAAAAGGTACAGGGTCCGGAGTCATGCGTTTCAAGCATTTACCCTCGTCGGGGCTCGAACCCGCACTTACGTGTTGAAGGTCCAGCATCCCATCCTGTGAGGCTCGACGCTCGTCCGAAAGGATGAGCGTTCAATTGAGGCGGAGCTCTTCATAAAGAAGAGTTGCTTCTACCTCACCGTCGTAGGAGTTAGCCCAGTAGGAAAACATGCCAAGTTCTCACCCACCGGATACTGGGATCAAACCCGACGATGCCTACTTGGGCTAGCTCCTTTTGGAACTGCCTATTGGGGTGGGAATGAGGCGCGGTCGATTTCGACCGCGAGATCTTCAGATCTCACGGTCGAAAAAGGTCGCACAGATACTACATGGCTCCGGCGCAAGGATGACACGCATAAATCGAGAAATGATGTTTTTCGTTTTTTTTCCCTTCAGTCGATCCCTTAGGGGATTGAACCATGGCCCGCGGCGAGATAACGGGCAGAGCTGTTGACTATGGCGAACGGGCAAAAAAAAAAAAAAAAAAAAAAAAAAAAAGCGTCACATTGCGTAGTTGAAACATGAGGTCATCGTCAGTGGGAGCAGGCGCCCGTTTTAACGGACAACCGTTTTTCGGTAAGTTTTTGTTTCGATTCGTTTTTTTAGATTCTTTTTTTTTTTTTTTTTTTAATTTTTGAGTAGATTTTCCTCCCTTGCATTTCTATGAGCTGCTCAAGCGTCCGAACGGGCTGCAACTGGGAAAAAATAAAAATAAAAATTGAGGCTATTGCCTCACGATTGAAGAAGAAGAGTTTTTTCAAACTGTGTGGGAGCACAATGACTCCCACTTCGTTTCGAGACAAATGTCTGTGGCCGGCTCACAGTGCGCACGTGAGAGAAAGGGGGCTAGAGGGGGAGAAATGAGGGAGTTGGGAATGGAGGTCCAACTCCTCCCAACCTGACAACTACCCTCCCCGTTTTCAGGGGAGGGCATAGAAAAAAAAAAAGATGCACCTGGCCCAGGTAAGGGTCAGGCGCGTGCAGTTAGAAATGGTTTCATTCTTTTTTTTTCTCTCTCATATTTTTTTCCTTATTGCAGCATTCTAGTGAGAACACTTGTCCTCATGAGCTTTTACCTCTGGCCGAAACTGCCAAAGGTAACTGTCAGGCTCCCGTTTCTAGAGGGAGCCTCAAAACTGAGGGGTCAAAGAGGAGAAGGCTAAATATAGTCTCTTCCCCGACGTATCTGCCTCGGGAAATGGGTCCAAATACATCAAACTGAAAGAGTTGTATCTCTCCAACCCTTTAGCAGAAAATAAAAATAAAAAACAAATTTGAAAATGCCACTACCTCAGCTATCTCGTAAAATTCCGAGATAGTTTAGGAAAAAAATAAAAAAATAAAAATAGGGCAGGTAAAAAAACTGCCCTCACTAAGTCTATAACTGTCGTACGGCCACAGTTAGCCTTTAATCTTGGCCAGATCAAAGGCTCACTGTAAACCCGTGATTTTGCCTAGGGGCTACCGTGGTATCCAACCCTCCTCAACCACTATAAAACAGGCAGTTGTCCGCAGCTGCCACACAGAAAGCATTCGTGTTGCCAGTCTATGGCAAACACACTTGAGTATTGCTGGGCTACTGGAGGAGTTGTCAGAGATTCAGACGCAACGTGGGACGCTGGAGGTCCGCAGTGGAGCACGAGAGGAGTAGGGAAGCCATAGCCGGGCTAGGGAGCACTCTGATCTACTTTTCTCTGGCTGGTGCTGGTCCGGTGGAGCGGCACTCGGGACTCTACGGGACCAAGGCGGCACAACAGGAGACTGTTTTGAGCCTGGATTTTGTCCAGGGCCCAAAATTTTATTAACTTGACGGTGGTTTTTCAGCGTCAACAGCGGGACATCAGGACTTCACTGGCGGTGGTACTAGCGGGCAGACAAGTTGTTTTCCCACTTCTGAGGGGAAATGCTGCCGAAATGTTTTGGCGTCAATGGCAAGCACGCACGGTAACAGATTGGAACCGGCAGTTGGCCTGAGAGTTGTCTTGGGAGTACGATCTTCTTTGGCAACGAGCATATTTTACTTGGCTTTCTTGAGTGAGTCAGGGCACGTTCTACACCACTTCACTCAAGGTCAATTGATTGACTCAAATTCCTTTTCACACCTGTGTGAACCCATACTTTGCTTGGCCCTGTTTGTTTGAACGTTCAGAAGAAAAGGTTGAGTAAAGCGTGTATGGTCATGCATTTGAAAAGTTGGATCTGACGGGAGTATGGGTTACTGAATTTTCTGGACCTGTGGTTGTTTTTGTGTATGCAGGTAGGCAAAAGGATGTTTGCAAAGGAGATTGATTATGCCTATTTGAGAAAAAGGAAAAGGATTGTCTTCTTTTTACTTCTCACCTACCTGCATGTCAATAAGGTTTCTTTGTCTTAAGAAAATAATAGTTTGGTAAGCGCTGTAAAACAACTTCGATTCAAATAAAGCAGAAAAGGTCAAATGAATGTAGTCTTTTCGCGAGGATTGACTCGTTCTATCCTTAAGGACTTTCTATCTTTCCAAATGGTTCTTATTCTTTATCTCTTCTAATCTTTTTGACTGAGTTACCTTGGGCAAAGGAGGATAGGAACAATTAAAAATTTACTTGCATTGGACGCTCTCTCTCTTTCAAGGAAACATCTCGGGCGGGGGTTCGTTGCTTCAGGAGCCGACCCTGTTATCGACCCAGAGTGGACCGTTCTACGGGGGGGTACTTTGCCGATTCGGTGGACACGGCCCGACTTATGAGATCCGAACTCTGTGCTCGGGCGAGGAGGAGGAGTACCCCAGACCACTTCCTAGAAGGTGAGACACGCAACACTCCAAGTAATGCACCTAATCAAGAATCATTTGCAAAGCAGCTTGTCATCCAAGAAAATTATAAATGTATGAAGACGGGTATGTGGGTCTAGTCTTAAGTCGGTGGTGGGTTATAATGAATAACTTTAGCAGCATATCTCATCAAGTCAAAACGAAGGTTGTTCCACTACTTTGTCGGCTGCATCTATATTATTGTCGGAAGCCAACTCCTCGTTGACGAGTGTATGATTTTTGTAGAGTTCGACCCACGTTGGTCGGATTGTATTTTGATCTTGTGTTTTTGGATGTACGATATGATGATTCAAATTATTTTGTTTGTTATTTCAAATTGAATACATTTTCCTATCGACTACAGTCGATTCCTCTTGATAAAATTACTAGTGGTTGTTATAACTTTCTTTTTGATTAGGTTCGAAAGGGACTAGGATACTGTGGGTTTCATGCTTGGTTGATCGGCGTACGCATGTACTGAGGAGATCAGCCCCCTAATGGACGAACGACGTCTGGGTTCAAAAGGCATTTTAAATGCGCGTATCTATACTACAGCGAGCGAGCAAACGCCCTCGGTTGACCCACCTCTGCAATTGCATTTAAAAGTTTTCGCACGTGGGTCAGTAACTCGGTAGGGATACGCCCCTAAGGGTGGTGACAGCCCCTTAAGGGACGATACGACCAAGTTGTGCCCCGTGGGAACTTATCCTATTGTAGGGGACCACAAAAAGTACAGTCGGCCCATCCGGCTAGAGTGGCGAAGGGACGACACGACCACGCTTGTCTGGGCGGTTCACCGTGCTAATTATGCGTCGTCCCCAAGTTGTCTCTAAACTTTTTGTTTAAATCTTGCGTGACATGGTCGGGAGGACTCCCGCCTTTTTGCGAGAAAACTGGAAGCCGATGCGCTCAACAGTGTCTGGCTGCCTCACCCGGTGGTCAGCTCCAATAGTAGCTATCCAGAGTGAGCGCAATGGATTTCATCCCTGCATTTGCAGGTTGAGACTCTAATACCGTTGTCGGGTGGCCGCAGATCAGTCGGTCATCCGACATGAGGGTTTTGGGGGTCTACGTCTGTCGACTACACCCATTTTGACTCTTCTTTTATCAGACGATGACGAAAAAAAAACGGGATCTCAAGGTCGACCACTATTTTCTGCCCCTCCACTCACTGACACGACCCCTGATATTATATATTTCAACCTACTATTTTATGTTATTTTGAATACCGCTTATGAAGGTATATTTTGCCTTTATTTTTCTTTTCTTTGACGCTCCGTTATAAACGCGCGTGCGACCTTCTGTGCGGGCAAGTTTTTATGACAGAGTCGATGTCCGTATTTTATTTATTTTAGCGGCGGTATTAAAAATCAGAAGTAAACTAAAACGTAATTAAAAGGAACCTAATCCTCACAATTTTTTTAAACTCTTCGTTTTTATGCCTAATTATGTTTCTCGCTGTTATTACCCGATCCGTCCTATTTTATGAGTCTCTCTTCGATCCCTATTTTCACATGTGAGCGACCCCACGCATACTTGCATTTATGAGAGTTTTGGGTACCGCGCGGGATTGGCTGTTTGGAGGGGTTTGCTGGGTGATGTTGTGCGAGAATTATTATCTAGAGGCTTAGACTATAGTACGGCGATTCGGGAATTGTTTGGGTTATGTTGGATCTATTGGAGGGGTACTCTATTTACGGCTTCGATGGTTTGACATCATGAGTCACTTAGGTTCCATGACATTGCTCGACACCGACTTACCTTCTGAGCTCGCCAACATTTCTGCTACTACACCCCTGGTATGGTCACCCCCTTATTTTTATATGCGGTTCCAAGGTTTGACGTGCATTGGTAACTGGCATAGTAAAGGCGCTGGTTTTCTAGGGTCATTTTCTCCTCCGACAGGGCTTATTGGCGGCACAATAGCGGCCAGGTACTGCTGTCGGGCCACGTTACCGGTATTGGGTCTGGATTCAGGTGTCGAACGTGTGGGCTGGTACCATGGGCACTGCGCACGTTTTTGTGCTGCTGAGGACTGTCGAGACCAAGTCATGCGCTTGCTGGCACTAAGACCGACACCATATACATGTTGAACCAATACTTCAAGGGGGCATTGGGGACTGAGGCGGCCAGGAGGACCAGGGTGCGTTGGAGGGAAGTGACCAGGGCGAGCTGGAGTTGTTTCGTGCCCCTTCGTGAGACCAAGCATACCACAACCATGGCTACATGCCCGTCCTTGCAAGTACGCTGGTCGCGGTGAACCAACTCTCAGGAGCAGCGATCAACGGGCAAGGGGTGAGCCAAGAGGAAAACAACATGAGAGAGGGTCAGACCAACATCCATGAGAGAGAGTGAGAGAGAGTGCGAAAATAGAGCGAGAATGAGAGAGAGTGCCCAGACGGAGGGAGAGTGTGAGAGAGTACGCAGAGAGAGAATGAGGCAGTTAAAAAGGAGACCAGTCAAGAGCCCCAATCACGTGTAATTAGCTGAGTAGTGAGAACCCTGCGAATGGGCTGGGTTCTGATGCTCCGCTAATTGGCTGAAAATAACCATTTATTGATCTTATTAATTTTGAAATATTTAAAGATCAGCCAATCCGTGAAAAGGAGGGAAGTAATCAACAACCTCAATCACAAGTAATTAGCTGAGTAGTGAGAGCCCTGCGAGTGGGTTAGGTTCTGTTGCTCCACTAATTGGCTGAAAATGGTCATTTATTGATTTTATTAATTTTGAAATTTCCAAAAATCAGTCAATCCGTAAAAAAAGGGAGCAGTCAAGATCCCCAATCACGGGTAATTAGCTGAGTAGTGAGAGCCCTGCGAGTGGGTTGGGTTTTGATGCTTCACTAATTGCCTGAAAATTGTCATTTATTTATCTTATGAATTTCATAATATTCAAAGATCAGTCAATCCCTGAAAAAAGGGAGCAGTTAAGAACCCCAATCACGGGTAATTAGCTGAGTAGTGAAAGCCTTGTGAGTGGGTTGGATTCTGCTGCTCCACTAATTGGCTGAAAATGGTCATTTATTGATTTTATTAATTTTAAAATATTCAAAGATCGGCCAATCTACGAAAGAGGTGTACAGTAGAGCGCTCAATTACGGATAATTAGTTGAGTAGCAAGAACCCTGTGGGTGGGCTGGATTCTGTTGCACCACTAATTGGCTGAAAAGGGTCATTTATTCACTTTATTAATTTCAAAATATTCAATTTGTTGCGCCCGACTCAGATCATGGCCGCAACTTGAAACCAGCGAAGAGAGAGAGAGAGAGAGAGAGAGAGAGAGAGAGAGGAAAAAAAAAAAAAAAAAAAAAAAAAAAAAAAAAAAAAAAAAAATAAAGAGAGAGACAGATAGACAGACAGAAAACAAATACGGAAAGACTGTGTTTTTTTTTAAGGCAGGGGCTGCTATTGACCGTTTTCTGCAGTTGCCACCGAATTTCGTCAAATTTCAAAAAATGTCGTTATGGCCTATGGGTACTTCAAACGACACAAATATCATAAGAGCAAGCATAGCAATGAAACAGTATCAGTATGCATCATGAACAATGACACAACTACATTATACAGTGTGAATAGTGACAGTATGCACTGTAAAACGGCGGCTATGGGACGGAAGGTATGTTGTGTGAGCACAACGACGATAGTGTGAGCACAATAGCTACATGCAATAGAAGTATACTATGTGAACAGACCATATGGGCCCTGCACTGATGTTATGTACCACCTGGGCATAGGCAAAAACGAACACTCATTTTGAAAATGCAGAAAAAATCATCCGTGATTTGTAACATGGATTTTGCTTGGGATAATCTGCAGAACTCCCCCTTGGGTTTTGGTTGAGTTGTTGGTTTGCCGGTCTTGCTAAGTATGTGTTCCCTGGTCGTGGTTATTTGCTAAAATACCCATTAGATCCAGTTGACCTTCAATCAAATTTCGTGGAGGGCAAATTGTAATTACATCCCTGCAAATTTGAGATCCTCCGCGAGAGAGCTTACGAGTGAAACTTGAGAAGATCTTTGATATGTAGCTAACACATATTTACTTTATTTTCGTTTAAGTTTCGAGTGAATTCTACATGCGAAATATCGACATTGAATTTAACCTCGAGAGGGGCGCATGACAGACAACGCAAACCCCGACACCTTGCTGATCGTTGAGGACCTCCGAAGCGGGCGTAGCAAGTGACAGACGTTGTTGCCCTTGGTTTTCGTGAACGTAGGCGATCCCTCCCCGGGTTTCCTCACACCGTTACCTACGAGGCTAGCTCGTGCTCGTAGTTGAGTAAGGACATCTCTTTTATCTGAAGGGGTTTATTCCCAGCACTCCTCCTAGGAGTGGTTTTGCAGGCCCCACATTCACCTCAAAGGGCTAGTCACCTACCTGTGACTCCGTAGGCTTTGCCCGTCCAAGGCGTCGCATGCCATACAGGCCCATGACCCTATAACTTGCGCCTACCTAGGCCTCTCTAACTTTAGGCAAAAATAAAAAAATATTAAGTAACCTAGGTTTTAAGTCATAGTCGTGCACTCGACGTGACTACCTTTTCGTTGTTTAAGCTTTGAATCGCACGAATGCTAAGTTGCACATCCTTATTTTCAGTAGAGTACGCTTAATTTTAGCTTTCCGGCGGTCGCACATCCTTGCCACTTCCATTGAAATTATGTTA